ACCTAGGACTACAAAGGAAGCCATTTATGTTAAAATGTAGTGATAGAGCATTTAACAATTAATTGTGATAAAACAACATATTAAGAAAGATCTAGAGGTAGGTCTAGTAGCCACCATAATTTCCAAATCTGTGTAAATTATGCTTAATATATCTGCAACAAATGTTTGATGATATAAAAACAGCCATGGATTCTGTTGATGGCAAATGACTACGGTGGTTTATTGCCTACAGTTATAATAAAAAGAAATGCTAAATTTGAGGAATAGGGTAGTAAAAATCAAGATGATGCTATTCCACCTCAGATTCACAAATCCCTCGAGTCCCATCCACAGACTCCTTGGGGCTCTGTGGATCCCGTTTGTCTCAGTTAAGGCTGTTATAACAAATACCCTAGTCTGGGTAGCTTAAACAACACACACTTCCAAAGATTTGGAGGCTTGAAGATCAAATCAGAGTGCTCATATGGTCCAGTAACTGATAAGGGCTGCCTTCCTGGTTATATCCTCACATGGTCTCTTCTTGGTGTTTGTGCAGAGACACCAATTCCCTCAAGACCTCATCTAGACCTAATGGCCTCCTATGATACTGTGACTTGTAATTAAAAATATAGGATGGCCCTAACCAGTTTGGCTCAGTGGATAGAGCGTCGGCCTGCGGACTGATAGGTCCCAGGTTTGATTCCGGTCAAGGGCATGTACCTTGGTTGCAGGCACATCCCCAATAGGAAGTGTGCAGGAGGCAGCTGATCAATGTTTCTCTCTCATCATTTGTTTCTATGTCTCTCTTTCTCCCTTCCTCTGTGAAAAGTCAATAAAATATATTTAATAAAAATATATAGGATGAGTGGAGGTGGAAGAGGGCATAGAGCAGATAAATGGTGATGGAAAAAATAAAATAATTTTTTAAAAGAAGAAGAAGTGTGTGTGTGTGTGTGTGTGTGTGTGTGTGTGTGTGTGTGTAGTATAATCACTCCAATCCTCTTTCTGGCATTGGGCTCCAAAAAGCCTTGGAATTTCCTGAGTTGAAAGCTGCAAAGTATCTTTTGTGATGTTAATGAGTTGACTTTTGGACTCCACTTAAAGTGTGTGTGTGTGGGGGTGGTGGTGGTGGTGGTGGTGGTATTTGCTAGGAGAGCAGTGGTTCTCAACCTTCCTAATGCTGAGACCTTTTACTACAGTTCCTCATATTGTAGTGACCTCCAATTTCATTGTTATAAATTGAACATAATTAAAGCATAGGGATTAATCACAAAACAATATGTAATTATATATGTGTTTCCCGATGGTCTTAGGCGACCCCTGTGAAAGGGTTGTTCGACCCCCAAAGGGGTCGAGACCCACAGGTTGAGAACCACTGGATTAGAGAGTTTGAAATTTCAACAGGGGCTGGAAGTTGAATCAGACTCCTAAGGCCAATGATTTAATCAACCTTGTCAATGTCACGAAGCACCCATAAAACCCCCATGGACAGGGTTTGGAGAGCTCCAGATTGACGAACACAGAGATTGGGGAGAGAGGTGCTGGAGAAAGTATGGCAGGTCCACGCCCCTCCCCACATACCTTGCCCTGAGCATCTGTTCCCTCTGGCTGTTCCCGAGTTATATCCTTTTATAATGAACCAGGAATCTAGTAAGTCAAATGTTTCACTGAGTTTTGTGAGCTGCTCTAGCAAATTAATCAAATTCACTGAAGGTGCCCTGGGAGCCTCTAATTTATACCAGTCTGTCAGAGTACAGGTAACAACCTGGGCTTTCAACTGGCACCTCTGCAGTGGGAGTGGTGGGAGCAGTCCTAGAGGACGGACCTTTAACCTGTGGAATCGATCCTATTTCTGGGTAGACTGTGTCAGTATTGAGTTGCATTGTAGGACACGCAGCAGGTTGAGAATTGCGTGTTGGCTTGGGGAACCGCTTCCACATTGGAATTTGGACCAGAGCCTATTTATCTCCCCAAAGCCCACCTCCATGTACCGTCACAATGGGGATTCAGGCTTTCACTTTTGATTTGGGGGTGGGGGACACAAACATTTGGTCCCTAGTACAGGCAAGGAACCCTGGCTCAGAGGATTCTCTACTACAAAGCCTTTAATCAGCCCTTCTCAGCCCCTCTACATGGGGAGACTGTGATGCCTTTTCTATGTATTCAGAGTCCCAGATATTTACCCACTGCTGGCACTTACTCTTCATTTGTTTATCTATTAAATTGCACCACAGGTGGGCAACTGTTATCTTAAAGGACCAGAAAGTACAGTGTAAATGGTCTCCATCAGAACCATTCAATTCAGCCAGAGACAATGTGTAAATGAATGGACATGTTTGTGTTCCAGTAAAACTTTTATGGACACTAAAATTTGTTTCATATAATTCTCATGTCACAAAATATTTTTCGTTTTAAAATTTTCAACCACTTGAAATTACCAAACCCATTTTTAGTGGGCTGTTCAAAACCAATCATGGGCCAGATTTGGCATGGACAATACTTTGTTGGTCTCTATGCTAGATCACAAGTAGTTCGGGGGTAGGAACTATACATTTGTTTTCTCTCCCTTTATATAGCACCAGTATTGGATAGGTTGCTTGTAAAATAAATAATGGCTAAATTAATATTCAAGTCTGTAAGTGCTTTATATCCATATATGTGTTCTTAATATTCTTCCAAAATTTGAATTGGACAGCAGATGAATTTTCCAGTGGGAGAATTTAGGCCCGTCCCAGATTTGTGATCTCTCTAGCACAATTTTGTGGTGCCTTCCCCTATAATCCTGCTGTCCCCTAAATGAAGGCCTGTGTTGAGGGTGTTCTTCACATACTCATGCTACTTTGAGATTTCAGAGTAGTGGGAATTTGCATATTTTCTACTGAGTTCAATGTGGCCTTGATCTGAAAACAGTGGTACATGTTTCAGCAGAGAATTTTAGATACGTTCCAGAACAAAAAAGAGCATTCCTTCCTAACACTTTCTCTGCTTTATGCCCTTCACACTTACATGTCCACCAACAATAAACATTGTGAAAATTACAGATATTTTATATAGTGCTTATTCCCTATAGAGGGTACTACACCACTTAAGATCAAAGGTAAATGGAGAGATTTTTTTAAAAAATTGTCTTTAAGTTATAGAACCAACAGACTTCCACTCCAGCGGCTGTTTAAGAAGCAAGATGTTAATCACAACTTTAATACAGCCACACTTTTGATAACAAGACAAGGTGGACTATTAGTCATGCTCTACCACCTGTAAAATGCTGACTTGACTAATACATATATTGGCTGAATATAAAAAAGGTTTTGGCATCTTGCTCAAGGTCATGGACAAATCTGAAATCTCATCAAGCTATGTTCATTGTTATGCAAATATACCCAACACTGTTTCACTTAGAGACATTTCAGTAACCATGTAAATGGAGATCAGAAGATAAAATAAAATATTGAATTCTGTGAACTTACAAGATTGTTTTTCAACACATGATTATGATATCCTATCAATTCAGTTTAGACTTTTAAAATATCTGTGTATATATACATATATATACACACATATATACACATATATATACATATATATTTTTTTATTGATTTCAGAGATGAAGAGAGAGAGAGAGAGAGAGAGAATCATTGATTGGCTGCCTCCTGCACATCCCCCCACTGGGGATGGAGCCCGCAACCCAGGCATGTGCCCTTGACCGGAATCAAACCCAGGACCCCTCAGTTCGCAGGCCAATGCTCTATCCACTGAGCCAATCCAGCTAGGGCTGTTTTGTTTTTTTTCTACTTAACCCTGCACCTTTTTTTCTCTAATGAAGAGCTGGCCAAGAGGGAAGGGATGTTCTAGTTTTAGCTTCAAATAATTTGCAAGGAAAAATTAGGTAAAGTTCAAAGATAGGGGAGTACAGTATTTCCTTCATTTCCCTCACAGTGGTCAGTGTGTTAGCTACGTCCAGCCCCTCCCCACAAGGCATGCCCATGGCCTAATTACTCTAACATTTTCTCCCATCCCTCACCCCCAAAATCTTGGTTCATTGCATCGTCAGGGCTTAGTCTGAGAAGATGAAGATGAAAAATTACATTTCCTTATTTTTCTACATTCAGCTCATTACACTATATCCTGGCTCCCGTTAGTGGCCTTGCTCTCTAACCCCTGGTATGATACATGGATTGACTTTCTTTAGTTCATGTGGTAACTTAAAACATTTTGTTATGAAAATTTTCAAACATACATAAAAATAGAGAGAATAAATAAGCCTCTTGCATACCCATTAGACAGATTCAGTTACCAAGAATTTTAATGTACCTTCTTTTAAAATCGAAGTTTATGTTGATACATTGCTCTGTTACACTGTACCATCTAAAATTTGAGTCTTCATCAGGCGCCTAATAGATCAAATGGTGAAACTCTGTGGTGTTCAGTTTCAATATTTAATTATTAATTGTCAAGGACTATGGTATATAAGAGTAAAAATTAAAATTCAACAAACAGATCTAATATAATTTTATGTGGTAACTTTAGGCACAGGTTATCATTTGTAAAATGAGAGTTGTGCAGAAATCACTGTATAAAATTATTTGTATTATATTAACTTTACCCCTTAGCATAAAAATTGATTTTTTCATCTACTTTTTACAATTAAAATATGGTCCTATGAGTCATGAAAATCATTCTGGGGAATTACCAGGGAGTGTTATTACTTGTAAACCTCTCCATGCGATTTCCTTCATATATAGTTGTGAAATCACTAAATATTTTCAATGTGTACTTAGGCATTCTCATTCCTGCAGGACATAGAGCAGTAGGAAACTTCCTCTTAGACATTAATATGAGTATGAAAAATTATGAAGTGCATTTTGCTCATAAGAAACTTCTTAAAATAGGAGTGTGCTATTAGCTTCGAATGAAGGTGAGTCATCTTCGTACCTCTCATGAATAACTCCTCTCTTTTGCAGAATCCAATTCCCAGTTAAAATTCTATAGTTAATTTTTCCCTTTGTTTTCTGTTTCTCCAGCTCTTGTAAATGTGAAGCTCTGGGCTATTGATCGACAATGTTTTCAAACAATAATGATGAGGACAGGACTCATCAAGCATACCGAGTATATGGAATTTCTGAAAAGGTAGGATGCTTTCTTTTCTCTTTCTGAGACCATTTAATGCCTTCACAACCCTCTTGTCTGGAATGAAGCGCAGAGAACCCTTTTTGCCTATATCTTGGTCTTCATGGGCTACACATCTGTGGAAGTGCAAGACTTTGCACTGGCTTCTTGGTATTTCTGGTGCTTATTTTCAATAATACGGGGTTAAGTCATGGCTTGAGAGTTTCATTCAACATTCTCTCATGGAGGAGTGCAGCAAAGGAGAGGAGAGGAACAAATGAGCATGTGCTTGAGCAAAAAGGAGTCGGGTCCGTCTTTAATATGTTTCAGTTAATATACTCTCCGTGCCACTTCTAAGGCGACCCACACTGTAAGACTGAGTCAGCTCTTGTGTGAATTTCCACATGAAAGGTCGGGTGACTAAGATGGAAAAGTTCCAAAAAGAAGCTTATTATTCTTTAATCTGGAGTTCAATTTCCCAAATTAAATTCATTTTATGTTGCAGTTCTGAAATATAATACTTTCCTTGACGTTATACATTACCATAATAACTCAATATAGTATGGGAACTGGAATTAAAAAACAGCTTTTCATTTCTTAGTAATACACTGAGATTCGCTGAAATGCATTTCTTTGTCTCTCGGGTTATTTTAAGGAAAATACTATTTTGTTATTAAAACGAATATTGACAACTCTGACTTTAAAAATAAAGTATCATTTTTCTTTTGAAAACAGAACCATCATTATGTGAGCTAAAAGGAGGTGAATCACCAATTAAGATTTCATTTGGGAGCTAGAATATTAAAGTAGATCTTTTATATTGGGTGAAGTAATAATTTAAATGGAGTTTAAAAAATCAAGTTTACGTTTTATTTCAGTGATACACCTGAAACAATATCTATTCAATTTTTTTAAGATGCAATTTTAATATTCCTCATTTTGGGATTTCTTGTGGTTAACTTATTTTATTTCTGATGTTTATATATTTTTTTATTTTTACATAAAATTTATTCTTTATATTTCCTCTAAAGAGGCAATAAAATTCTAATTTGATGTAGAGTAATAATATATTGAAATATTGCTCTATCAATAGATTGTTGGGATTTTTCCCTCAGTGAGATTGGATGAAACATTTAGAAGGGGAAATGTAAATTTCTGTTTGGAGTTTAGTATAGTGTGCAAGGAATTAAATTATTCGGGTGCTGTGTGTGTGTGAGTGAATGGAAAGAAAGTGAGAGATATTATTACTCATTTTTAAGTCTTAAAGTGCAAGTATTGATTTCTTCTGATGCAGTCCTAATAGAGGAAGATCCCCATTGGTAATCAGTGAACTAGGACAGAGCCCATTGTTTGTCTCAGGTCCCTAAGCATTGAGAGCTTATGAGGTTAGTTTCAGCTTCCACAAGTTTGTTTTCACAAGGAAATTCAGAGTATCAGAATCACCTTGTCTAACTCCAATAAAAACACTTTTAGAGGCACTATTTTAGGAAATAGAGTTTGGAGATGTATCTCTTTTTTTAAATATATTTTTTATTGATTAAGATATTACATATGTGTCCTTGTCCCCACGTTACCGTCTACCCCCTCCCCTCCGCTCTTGCCCTCCCCCCCCGTTGTCCGTGTCCATTGGTTAGGCCTATATGCCTGCATGTAAGTCCTTTGGTTGATCTTCCCCCCTTACCCCCACCCTACCCTACCCTCCCTCCAAAGCCCACCCTCCTCAT